GTAATAGGAACACATACTGGAGTTGTTTTTCATAATGCAATCAACGCTTACTTGAAAAATCTCTTTTATGTGGTGAGTGCTGTCTTCTGTCTGCCCATCACTTTCATCAACTTCCTGGGTTCCAAGTGTGCTTTGCATCTCTTTACCTGCTGCCTTATGTGATGCAATCTCCATTTCTCAAGACTACATAGCCCATAATGCATTGCTTCCAGCAAGCAATGATAATGTTACATTGTTCAGACGTTCTAGATTGTTGTAGTTTAGACGGCTGGCTCTGTGAGAGTTGTGCATATTCACAGGCCTTAGTAGAATTGTGTCACTGCACTGAGGAAGTACACCCTATGGGTATCTTCAATAAGTTAGTTTATGTACTTCTAGATTGATTGGTTATTAGGAGTGATATAGGGCTTATGGAAATTCATTATAGAAATATTTATCTACTTTTAGTTCCTGACTATCAGATATCATTTAAAAGCCTCTTCTTGGGGGAGAATATATTCAGTTCAGATGATCTTTCCTTTAACTGAGGATATCTATGCCCCATATTAGATTAGCTGGCCTTCTCTGCTTTCTCCCCAGTTCAGCAAGAGCCCCTTTTTTCAATTCTACATCTCTAATACCTCAGAGGATGTATGAATGGTACATTGATTTACAGAGAGAATTTGTTTAGAGGCAATGTGTTACAATAACCAAGAGTCCATTCAGGTGAAAAGGAAGGAGAAATCCAAATAGTTGTATGCTGTCAGATAAACTGCCAGCAAAACAAAGGGAATCCATAACATTTCAGACTCGCTGCAGATCTTTGTGTCAAACGCTTGTGTTTAGTAAATTGTTATAATTCTTCCTGGTCTTAAAGGAGAACTATGGGGTTAAGTCTTTTTTCCCCATAGTTCTCCTTAGGGTAACGGGAGGACACAAACTAGCGTCCTCCCGTCACCCTAGGCTCAGTATACACCTCGCTGTAGCTCGCTGTATACTGAGACGCCGCAGCTGAAGAGGATCCCGACAATTGTGCCGGGATCCACCCAGCTGCGTGAGTGACAGCTGGCTCTGCCTATCTAGAGGCAGAGCCAGCTGTACCCGCCCCCTCCTCCGTCTGTTCCGCCAGTCAGCGATGGCAGATCGGAGCGGGGGGAATCCAGCCCCTCCCCTGTCACGGCAGAGAGCCGTGACAGGATCGAGAGGTGACCGAACGCCGCTATGTGTTCGCTCACCTCCCGATCTACAGAGCCGACCTGTGACAGTCTCATTGTCACAGGTCGGCTAGAACTATGAGGTGAGTGAAAAGCACTCGCCTCATAGTTCTCCTTTAAGTAAAGAGCTCTGCTTCTGCCAGGAGTGCATTTTCTATTGTGAGGAATGGGGGTAGACAAGGACAGAATGAGGTAGGGAAGTAAGAAAGAGTGTTTCATTTACTCCTAGGGGTTGTGTGTACACATTGCATTGTTTATATGGATGTATTCTGTGTTTATGATACTGTTGCTATAATGCAGGGAGGCTTGAGGTTGCCATGGTTGCTGCAAACTTCATATCTCTATTCGACCTGAATATGTTGAAAGTAATGTAGTGCTCAAGGTACAAGGCAACAACAGGCGCGGTGTAGGTAGAAATCTCATCCAAGCCACCTGGCTCCTTACCCCTGGAGAAGTCCCTGTGATGGAACGCGTAGGGCAGAGCTTGAACAGCTGGGACCTGTGTGTTTGGAGCTGGAAGTGGCCAGCAGAGAAAGTCACAGGCTTAGCACTTCTGTCTTGCAGCACTGGGGTCCCTGGTTCAAATCTAGTAGTCAAGACACTATCTGCAAGAAGGTTGCATGTTCTCCCTGCCCTATGCTTGTGTGGGTTTCCTTCCACACTTCAAAGACATGCTGGAAGGCTCATTGGCTCCTGTCTAAATCGTCCCCAGTATATGTATGTGTTAGGGATGCACCAAAACATTTCGGCCAAAAATGTTACTATGGGCCAAATACCAATAGTTCCAAAACAGCCACTGATCCCCACTGCTCTCCCCCACCTGTGTCGGTAGAGGCAGTGAAGATTGGATGGCACGCAGACCGGCTCCCAGCGGGGAGGAGAGAAGCTGTCAGGAGGCCGAGCGGGGCGGTGCAGGGAGGAGACAGCTGTCAGGCCAGTCAGGATGGAGAACAGGCACAAGCACTCAGTGGTCAGTACTGATCGCTGAGTGTAAATAACTGAGGACATAGTATGCTTACTGTGTCCCCAGTTATGAATGAACAGGAAGTGCTCTACATCACTTCTTGTTCATTTATGATTGTGGACATACTCTATAGCCACAGTTTATGAATGGACAGGAGCACTCAGTATGGAGGATTCCTGTTGATTCATACCAGGGGCTGCAGAAAAAGAGATTGAGGACTCTGTGTCCTCAATTTCTTTTTCTATTTTAAAAGGGAAATATCAGGGGTCTGTTTAGAGCCCCCGACAGTAAAGTAAAAAATAAAGAAATAATACTTAAAAAATCAATTTAAAAAGGTTGGGGAAAAAAATGAATTTTTGGTTTGGGCCTGATAAAGTTTTTTTCCTTTGGGTTTCTGTTTTGGTCTAAACATTTCAGTGCATCCCTAATATGTATGCATGTGACATTGTGGGTGCCTGAAGGGAAGGAACTGATGCAAATGTGCAATATGTAAAGCTTTGTAAATTATTAGTGCTATATAAATGCCTGTAATAAATACAGTATATACAGGTGAAACTCGAATAATTAGAATATCGTGCAAAGTTCATTTATTTCACTAATGCAACTTAAAAGGTGAAACTAATATATGAGATAGACTCATTACATGCAAAGCAAGATAATTCAAGCCGTGATTTGTCATCATTGTGATGATTATGGCTTACAGCTCATGAAAACCCCAAGAACCCCAAATCCACAACCTCAAAAAAGTAGATTATTACATGCAATCAATAAAACAAGGATTGTACATAGAACAATATCGGACCTCTGAAAAGTACAAGCATGCATATGTACTCAGTACTTGGTTTGGGCCTCTTTTGCAGCAATTACTGCAATTACTTTTGCACACTATTCTAATTATTCGAGTTTCACCTGTATGTGTACATATTCTAATGTGCTGAATGATGTAAGTGCATTTTTGTGAGTTGTTTTTAATAAAGTTTGTAGTATGGGTTTTATGCCAGGTGCCACTTTGTATTGTCTCTGTGATCCACAACTGGAGACTATGAGATCTGGTCATACATGTGCCATTGGAGGACGATTAACCCCTGGTGGGGAGCAGACAAATTTACCATATTAGAGGAATTTCGTTTTTGGTCTTTATTACAAGGTACGCTTTATTCCTTCTGATTAGAACATGAACACTTGTGGGGAATCACTGAACGAATTGGGATTTCTGGGTCATCATGTTTGAAGATCCACCTATTTATAAAGAAGACCTCTGGGCAGAAAAAAACTTAGCGAATAGTAATCAAAACAGACTCTCCAATATGTCTGTGAAGGTTCTCATTCATTCAGATCATGGTATATTTGTAAAAAATAAGTCAAGGCAACTAGACTTGCTGTATTTTTCTTGAAGACGTTTCACTGGTCATCCAACCAGCTTTCTCAATTCAGAATGACTTGTACAAACAATGTACAAAAAATTATCTGGGCCGTTTTAGGTAAAAAAAAAAAATGTTTTGTTTAACATGGGCTTTCAGTGCGTTCCAGGCATTTGCATGTGTTTTTGATGCATTTTTGATGCGTTTGCATGCGTTCCAGAGCAGGTGAGGCCTTGTTCACAGCAAGCGCGGAGCAGGTGCAGAGCAGAGCAGTTGCAGACCGGATCAAAACTGCGTCCAATGTATTCCAATTGTATTTTTTGCTCCAGTTCACATCGCAGCATGCAGATCCACCGCAGGTCCAGAGCAGGTAAAAAAACTGCAGCAGGCCCTATTTTACATGCTCTGGATCTGCTCTGGAACACATGCAAACGCATCAAAAACGCATGCAAATGCCTGGAACGCACTGAAAGCCTATGTTAAACTAAAAAAATATATATTTTTTAACCAAAAAATAAAAGAACGCGCCCAAAACGCAGCAAAACCCACTGCACCGCGTGTGCAGAAACCTGAGCGGATCTGCTCTGCATTTGGTGTGAGCAAGGCCTAAAAGGGTTATTTGCTTGTTTTCGTCTAGGGTCTAAACACAGATATACTCACCCAAACTGCGACCTCACCTAGCTGCTAGTCCGGCCAATGCAGCCTCTCTGCCCCTATGCTTCGGCAGTCTAAGGATCTGTGAGTCGTCAAGTCTCAGGATGGAAGAGAGGCTGCAGTGACCGGTCTACCAGCCAGACAGGACCAGGTTTGGGGGAGATTTTGTGTGCAGTAGATCATTGTAACCCACAGTCAGCTGAAGCACTATTGTTGGGTATGTAAACCAAAACAAATCGGCACATCAAATATGGCCAAATGCAATCAATAAATATGATATAATGAAATAGGTGTACAATACAATTCCATCAAATAGTAAGAAAGTAACTTGCTGTATAATGGGGTATTTAGCTTGTGTGACTTAGAGGAAAAACAAGCAATTTGCAAGTAACCACTAGGTGTCACCCTCCAGTCAGCTGTGTTATTTCCCACTAGAAACCATTACATTACTTATTAGTAATTAGCTTTTCTCTGCAGTATAAGGCAACGAGACAGATTTTGGCTGCTTTCAATAACAACAAATATCCAGCTCATTTTCACAATGGACCGATCTAGCTGCTAAATAACCCAATTGTATTATGTGTCACGATATCAGTCAGCCTTTTATAGCCTATGGCCATCTTCACTCTACATTAGATCAGCTTCACCGGTATTGGTAATATATAATACAAGTCTTCCAATCCTGACAATAGAACCCGGTGCGCCGGTTGCAGCTCCTTGCAGACAAGGACAGCCCACTGTAGTGACAGCAGCGCTCTCCCAGGTCTGTGATGACGTCAGCTCGACAGTCATTGTTTGAACAGGTGAGGGAGGAGAGAGGTGTGGGAGTGTAGACATGTACTGACACAGGGACTCCTCTCCCATAGGCACTCAGCACGGAGCTGGAGGACACACTTGCATTGCTGCTTCATTATGTTACCCTCTGTGGTCAGAAGGTGGCTGAACAGACCGAAGGTAGGAAGCACACAGCCTTTCACTACTCCTTTATGTGACTACTGGCTCATGTGACTATACAATCAGCATTTTTACATCTATGCCTTACTGTTCTATTTGTACGTTCACAATATTGTCCCCCTGTTCTATGGAGTTTTGTATGAGATGTGGAATGGAAAGTGTTAATGAGCTACAATACACATCACTTGCTGAACCTGTTCAAGGCATCTGAAGTCAAGTGAGACAGGCACCCATCCCATGTGGACTATGTGGAGAATAGCACGAGTCCTAGATCAGAAAGCATATTTCTTGCCAAGCTTCTTTGTTCCAATGAAACACATTACCAGGGTGTGAAATGCCTGTAGGGACCTGGGGCTCATGTTCCCAGGCTGACTTTCTCAAAGTGAATCATTCCTGTTTGGGTACAAAGTTTTTGTTTTGCCCTGTGGCTTTCTTGTGTGACTAGTTAGAAGCCACATTGTATGGGATTGTCCTTCTTTATATGAAGACCAGCGCGAAAAAGATGATTGAAAACTTGTTCCATACATACCAGATGAATACAAGATATGGTCTAATGTAAATATATAATTGCAGGAGATTAGACCATATGTTGTATGCTTTGATTTTAGCTAGGAAGGTGTTTGCCATTCTATTATTATCACTGTTTGCTTACGTGGAAATGTCTTTTGTTTTATGGCAAATTGAAATAAGAGCGGGTTTACTGTGCTAGTAACGTTAACATTTATTTTTTTACTTCCTGTTGTATACTTTTCACTGGCATTGTGATGTTAAAGGGTATCTTATCCAATAACAATCATTTTAATATATTGCAGCTTACCAATCCTTAAATGTGTTGGCATTATTGTTATTATTATTTATTATTATTAATAATAAATATATATTTTTTTTGGATGTTTTTACCTGGTGATCCAGCCAGTAACACACATCCTGTCTTAGCCTGCATTCACATCGGTGCATTCTATGAATGTGCACATAGATGGAAATGCGGCAAAGGGTGCAACACTCCTGTGTTGCCATTCATTTCTAATGGCACCCCAACACTGCCTGGAAGGCATGCTTTTTTGCTCCACGGCTATTTGCATAAAAACACGCACAAACACGGAGGCACAAAATCTACTACATGAGCTTTATTGCTGTGTGTGGAGGCCCCATTGAATTTAATGGGGACGCGTGGCAAATGTAAATGCGGGGTCAGGTGGCTACCCTCACTCTTTCACTGAATCTAAGAAAAGAGCAACGTAACCACCCTTGAACAGCAGCATTGTCAGACATTGGAGAAGGGCAGTGGTAGATGGACTTTACATGAGTGACTAATGAGCTAAATCAGAACTCCATCTAGTTTGTTCAAAATTCTAACCATGTATACCCAGCTTAACACTTTTTAAGCAGTTCAGCTGACCACTGTAAGCACTCCTGTTGGTGTTAAAGTAGTAGTAATTTCTCAACCCTTTTCTTTTCTTTCCTAATATACATTGCCCAGCAAAGTAATTCTATATGTTTTAAGCTAAGATTTTACTCGGTAGTGAAGTTGGTGTTGGGGTGACAACCCTGGAAATTGTACTTGTGCTCTAGTTTTCATAAATTCCCCCTAATGAGTCACGTACAGTTCCCACATGTCGGTTCTCACAGTTTCGCTTTCATATAAATAAAAAAAACAGAAGTGTTATAAATCCATAGCAGACAATTCAAGTTTTTCACCAGTCATGAAGTGAGAGAAAATCTGGGATAGGGACACAGACAGAAATAAAAATCTGACAGCGTTTAATGTTTTCCCCAACTCTTCTTTTTATGAATGTGTTGGTGATTTCCCTTCACTTCCTGTCTAGTAAAACATTGCCTGCAGTAAGTGTCAGAAAATCTAACTGAGATATCAGCCTCTAACTCTTCACTATTCCATCCAATGCAGCACAAAAAAAGGTTTTGGCTAGATAGACGCATTAAAAGAGAACTATGGCCTAATCTTTTTTGGCCATAGTTCTCTTCAAAATAGCTTAGAGCGCAGAGCCGTGCTACATCCTGACAATACTGTTGAGATCCACCCCCTTGGCTAATTGACAGCTGTCTCTGCCTCTCTAGAGGGAGAGCTAGCTGTGCCCGCCCCCTTCCCCATCTGTTCCTCCAGTCAGTGCCGGAGGATCGGAGAGGGGGAAATCCTTGCGGGTAGCGGTGACTGACAGTTACCGCACTCTGCAGGGAGATGATCAGGAAGTCAGAGATCGGCGGTATGTGTTTGCTGACTTCCCGATCAATAGAGACGACCTGTGACAGCTCCAGTGTCACAAGTCGGGATGAGTGTATTTCACTCACCCCATAATTATCCTTTAGGAAAATTGAGCCCTGATTGTTTGTAATGATTACTAGACTCTGCATATTTCCAATATTCATCATTACAGTTTTAAAGTCTGTTGGTGATCATTATACTGGATAACTATATTTAGGTTATGAATTTAATTTATAGTAACCCTGTCATCAGAGGGTCACTTTTACTCAAAAGCTGACCTGTAAAAGAAGTGTGGCTGTTCTTATCTTTACACCTCCCATATTGTGGAATACTTTCCCCCACGTTGGCTGAGATGGTTTCTCCCACCAGCTTGTACATCACTGCAGGATGTATGTACAGTGGCAGGGGGAACCATGGCATACGGCAGGTGGAACAAGTATTGACCCTGCCATAAATGTAACTATATCCACACTTTTTTTTTTTTTTTTTAAAGTGACACTAAACTCAGGAGTTAAATCTTAAAAATGTATTCAAGTACCATAACTATTAACAAATGTATCTTATTTGTGTATCACTCAGCTGTAGATCCTCAAATCATCTCTGAATTGGTGCTGACACTGTCCTTCCTTCTGGAGGGTGGCTACTTTTGTTCCCCCATGGTCCCTGTGTGTGTTGTAAAGTAGTCACCGCTCCAAGCTCACTCCTGTCTGTGATGGACTACAATCTCATGTTTGGTTTACTAATTTAGATTGTAACCCATCACGGGAGCGAGCTTGGAGCGGTGGCTACTTTACAACACACACAGGGACCATGGGGAACAAAAGTAGCCATCCTCCGTAAGGAAGGAAAGTATCGGCACCAATTCAGAGATGATTTGAGGATGTACAGCTGAGTAACTAGTAACAAAAATGTATCTTATTTGTGTATCAAAGTAGTATTAAAGTCCTCTCTCTTTTTTTTTTTTGCTTACAAAAAAGCTAGCAAGCAGTAGATACACTGTATGCTGTAACTTTAAAAAAAAAAAATTTCAAATGCGTAAAAATCTACCTGTGTTTGCGCTGCTCGCTCCCGGCTGCAGAACTCGGCCTCCCAAATGGCCGTGCAGGATAAAGTGTGTGCGGGCACATGCACAGTCAACATCAGAGAGTTAATGCACACAGCCGGACAGACTCCGTGGGACACAGGAAGACCTAGCAGACCTAGCAGTCTGCGCTGGATCAGAGAGTGGCACCAGTGCTGGAGGGACTGTTGAAAATGACTGAAAGAAAGATGTTCGGACCCAGAGTCATCACATAAGGTAAGTACTTGCAGCAGCATTTGGCAGGGGGGTGGGGGTCCTTTTGATGTCACTTTAAGGTACTTGAATGCATTATTAAGATTTAACTCCTGAGTTTAATGTCAAATTAACAAGTGATCCATAGAATAGACGTGACCCTGTGGTGACAGTCACTTTAAATTTGTAGTAATACTAGTTTGCTCTTGGCCTCTTAAGCAATATACCAGATATAAAAAAAAAAATGTACTTCCCTTTTACTAGCCAATAGTAAACAATTAACACCGCCTGGGACTAGCATAGTGTTTTAGGTTGGCACTCCTTCCTCCCATCACAGAATGTCATGTGTACCAACCTGACCATAAAAAATAACAGGCTGCCCAGTAACCTAAAAGTTATGTTCTGTCTACCAGACATAATGTGTTCATATAATTGTCCTAACCAGCTCACCCTCCATATGCTCTCATTGGCAATAGAAATGCAAGGTCTTTTGCACCTACCTTGCGTTTGTTTTTTTACATAGATTACAATAAGGCTCCCTTAACACATATCGCAAACTTTTTAACATACGCACGGATTCCGCACGTTTGCGGCTATCGCCATAGCTGGAACGTGTGGAATCCGCCATAGAATCACGCTTGTACTATTTTGCGGGGCGCTCGGTTTCATACTGCGCGGCCGCCGCAAAAGTCTGAACAATGCATTGTTTTTAATGTATAGAGCAGTTACGAATACATGCAGACAACCGCTCCTGTGTGAATGGAGCCTAAAGGATTTTGTCTACTATATCAGTTGTGCTGATAAACTTGTGGTTTTATAATGTGCATGTCCAGCCAAACATTTTTAGATAAAGTGGGGAGGAGTTGGAGTAAGACAAAACCTGTCAGGGATTCTATATGGAACTCTTGAGAGGTTCCCCTGACTGGTCATGGTGACACCAGTTGCCAGGGGTTATGGCCTTCCCCTACTGTGTTTAAAATGTAACTTTTTTTCTGTCTTTGCACTGTTAAGCTGGCCATACATTATGCAAATTTTGTCCGGTTCTTCAGGAACTGTGGGTGCCAATGTCGGCACCCTTTCAGCTGGTATCCCTTGATGAGCTGATCGAAGGAGCCGGTCAAATCTTTAAATGAAAAGAGCCAGCAGCCAATGAGTGAAAAAGAAAACCGCAGGGATTCCTTTATCAACGCTCGTATAGCGTTCATGAAAGAATCTGTTCTATCTTTTTCATTCAGCCCGTGGGTTGTATGGCCAGCTTTAGAGATTTACCGTCGCTCCCATGCAGCTAGTGTAGCTAGGCCTTTATCTTTCCCCACTATTTGGATTGTGGCTTAAAGTGTGCAGACCATTCAGACTGGGTGTCCCTCAGTGCACAAAAATTTAGCGCTTGCTGCATTCTTTGCAGTGCACCCAAACATACATCATTGCAGCACAGGTGCGTTGGGGTGGCGGCTCTATGCACCAGCGCCTGTAGGTGTGTGATGGGCCCTTTCCCGGCCGGTTTTC